GTTGTGTGGTCTGAACCTCGCCTAGGGTACTTGTGAGATTTGATGCTATGTGACTTACATCTTACCTAAAGTCACCTTTAGTAAGCAAATAGGGGTATGAGTTTCATGATGCTATGTGACCCCTAAACTATACCATGATGCTCACTTGTTATTGTGTGATTATACTAGCGTCTTTGTTATATTGGGTACTAACATTGTTTGTTGTATGCTGATGCATTGTAGGATGATACTGTGGTTGGAGACCTAGTATACATTTACTCATGTGGAGGCCTTTAGCAAAGACTAAGGGAGGCGTGAGATGTATCACCCATCTCCCATATACCTTTCTGTACATGAGATATAGATGTCACATCACTTTTAAAGCATTTCCCATTTGAAAACCCGTAAAATTTTGTCTTGAATTTTAAAACCAAAAACATTTTTATACTACAAGAAAACAGTTGTTGAAACCTATTACCAAATTTATCATTTTAAATACATTCTAGAGCAACTTTTCTAATTTCGGTTACATGCCAATAATTTTCAAATTAACATGATTTCCTACTGTTACTTATGAGAGTCAACCTTATATTGATGATAGTTGCTCTTGCTCCCAGTATCTGACTAGTCTTTGATGTTACCTACATGTGAAATCAACATATGTTAAGTATATATACTTAGTGAGACATAATATTGTAAAGAATCTGCAATTTATACATTTGTATCTCATAACTATTTAATGATGAACTAATTTGCATACTCCATAAGAATCAGATAAATCATTTTAAGTTAAACCAGATTTTTCTTTCATACAATCATCGAAATCATTCTTAGTAATCCCAGCATATCTATCTTTCTGTATATTTTTCCCAATTATTCTTTATTTTCCCTATGTACGTTAAATGAGAAAGTATTATACATGTATTGCACCAAAGTGCCAAAGGGTCCTTTATCTTTTATAATTATCATGACTGACACCTTATATACCATTAATACACCGCTATGTATTTTCATTTGTGACATCCTTTCATGCCAATTATGCACTGTTATACATTTTCATTTATGACATCCTTTCATTCCAATTATGCATTGTTCTTCATCTAATTTGTATTAGTGGCACATTTCTGCCAAAATGCACTGTTAGGCATTAGTCTTTTATCCTAAAGGCATTTAACCTTTCTTCTAACTTGCATTATTGGCACATTTCTGCCAAATGCACAGTTAGGCATTTAGTCTTTTATTTTATAACAGTTTCTAATCTAATAATTATTCATAATATCAATTAACTCTTTTAATTTATTATAAACCCTATAATTTTACACTCGTAGTGCTAACATGGTAATTTACCAACTTTCTAGTCATGATCATTTTATTAAAATGAACACGTAGTGCCTATACGGTTGTTCATCAACATATGATGAATTTCGTGTGTTGCACACATAGTGTTTGTACGTTGTTCATCAACATATGATGATATGTGGGTTGCACACATAGTGCATGTACAGTTGTTCATCAACATATGATGAATTATGTGGGTTACACACATAGTGCCTATACGGTTGTTCATCAACATATGATGAATTTCGTGAGTTGCACACATATTGCTGAAATGGTTGTTCATCGACATATGATGAATTCCATGAGTTGCACACATAGTGCCGAAACGGTTGTTTATCAACATATGATGAATTCCGTGAGTTGCACACATAGTGTCGAAATGGTTGTTCATCAATATATGATGAATTTCGTGAGTTGTACACATAGTGCCGAAGCGGTTGTTCATCAACATATGATAAATTTCCTGAGTTGCACACATAGTGTCGTTTAGTAATCACCATACATATATTAAGAAATCATACATATATGACTATCATCACATATATGTACATAATAAATGCATTCACCTGACTTGCCTTGTTATTATATCCAAAATGCAAGTCTGACTACTCAGCTACTTTATCTTTTCCTTTCGTTTTGCTTGACCCAGGAACTTAATTACGATCTAGACAAGCATCCATTAAAGACATATATCATACTAAATGTTAGTATATTTCCTAATATTTATACTTTAATAATAATCAAAGGTACTATTATTTAGATTTCCATAACACTTTCAGTCTATCCTACAATTCCAGACTCACTAATATCGGTACCCCTACCATTGTATCGATACTACTATGCTATGGTAATGATACCCCCTTTCAGTATCGATACCATTTCTACATTTTGGATTCATGGTATCGATACTTCTCTCCTTGTATCGATATTTCTCTCCTAGTATCGATACTTCTATACTATGGTATCGATACTCCATTATAGTATCGATACCATTTTTGCATTCTGACTCAATGGTATCAACACATTCTCTATGCAATCAGTATCGATACTGTTCAGCTGATTTAATCCAAATTAAGCCTATAGTATCGGTATTATTCTATCAGTATCGATACTCTTACCCAACTTTTCCATTTTTCAACCCAATTCTTACCCAAATTTGGTCAAATTTCTTATATTTACACCCAACAATACATTAAACTCTTCTTTACTTATCCCAACTAACGTCCCTTCATTTAACTTCTTAAAACATCTCAAATTTCCAAAGAACAATTCTACCCAAGAATCATACCATTTTTTCTAACATGTTCTTAATCTCATCCAATGTTTCTAATCTCTTATTTACTTCTTTGACAAGTCAAATATACTAACAAACATCAATAAAAACTCATATCATAACATATCATTCAAAAACCTATTTTATTCAATCTCAAATATTTCAACCGTCTCTAGTTTTAATCTTATTTAACCCTTCCTTAAGCTTCCATAATACTCAATGTTCCAACCACAACCCAAAAACAAGAGGAAGAGCTGGTTAAATTAAATCTTACCTTTGGCTATGGAGGATGGTCCTTGCACGAGGAAGAAGAAAAGATATAACTCTAATGGTTTAACTCTCCCCTTTTTCTTCCTAAATCCCTAATAAGGAATGAATTTTAAATTCATTTCTCCTTAAAGGGCCTAATTACCCTCTATATTCATTCATTTATACAAATTGGTCACAAACATTATTCCAATCATTTCCTATCCCTTTATCATTTATACAATTGAGTCTTCAAATTTTAAATCTTTTCAATAAAGTCACTAACCTGATATTTGGAGTATTACATGAGACTTACACTATAGTGATAGAACTGTTGAGCCTTAAGTAGGTAGTACTTGATTACGATCATGCATGTACCTACTGCTTATTACAATGTCTCCTAGCATGCTTATGTTTATGAGATTTATACGCTGCTCTAGATTAGTGATTATACTACTAGGCTTCGTAAGCTTAGTGTTTGGATGTTTCCGTTCGCAGATTAGTATATTGAGTCGTTCGGGGAGCATCATCGCAACAGGATTTATAGTATTCCTCACAGAGTATTGTATGGTTATTTGTAATGGGCATGTGTATTCATATGACCCTTACTTGTGTATTTGGATTTGTAAACTTTGAGTTGTATTATTTGATTTATACTATGTGTCATAGCACCGTTTTGTAAAAGTATTTTATGATTATTATTGATGTCTTTTCATAAATATATGGTGTTTTAAATGAAAAAGAAAATGGTTAGCCTCTTCGGTGGTTCTGTGTAATATTCTAATCCTCTAGATTTCGAGTAGGATCGTATTAGAGTGTTACAATAAAGAAATTTAGTAAAATAATGTTAATAGTTAGATAATTCAATTAGAATATTTTGAAATTTAGTTATCAATTTAAAGTTTAGATGTAATCTGAGAATATTTAGTACAATTAACTTATTTTAAATTGATCCTCAAGCTTCAAGATAGTCTAACTAATTTATGAAAGTATGAAATATTGTATTAAATCAATCAGGTGTTTTAATCCACCTAATTATTAGTTTAGAGATTAAAAATTAAATTAATATGACGTTAAATTTATTTAAGATATGTGGATCAATTTACAAATATATGTACCTACTATATGAATAATTTAAATATTATGTGTTAAAAATAGCATTTTGACATTAGGTCTAAATTATCCATAATATAAGAGTAAAATGACAAATTTGTCCAAATATTTTTAAATACGCTCGACTTGAGATTTGGTTGAACATTCAATGTGTAATGACTTGATTGATATATTTTTAATATTTTGAAAATTCCATTTAAATATTATAAAGTTTTGGTATTGGTTTAAAATCTAGATGATAGCTTGAGAACATTTGCTCTAATTAACCCTTAACAAAACGTGGAATTAAATAAACTTAAAGATTAGCCGGCTTCAAAGTTGTTAGCTTGCCACTTGTTCATTAACAACTCTAATTATGTCATCGTTAGGGGTTTATATATATATATATATATATATATATATATATGTATGTATGTGTGTGTGTGTGTGACAATTTGGCTTATCTTTTTATTTCTTAATCTTAAAGCATACTTTTCTTAGTCAATTCCAATTGTATAGAGGAACTTAATAATTACACACATTTATTTAATTGGTTTTACTAATAATAGTTATATTTAAATACTAATCAATGCCTCATTTATAGAAATAACCATATAATTGATATTTTTAATATATTATAAGTAATGTTGTAAATATAGAACTTTAAATTATAAATTAAGCAATCCTTAATTAGTTCCTTGTGAACACTGATTAAGCAAAACCTTAGATTAAATACAATTATCAATGACTATTCATTTGGTCAAATATATTACATGAAGTTGTCGTTAAAAAGTTAAAATATACTAATGTGATGGTAAACATAAATGGTGGGCATTGACAGCGGCAATTCTAAGTAATTGCCAAGGCCAGGCAGGCAGTCCACCAAAAACTCTCTATATGTACACACATGTATAGATTCAATGGCCGAGAAGCAAAAAAATGGGCAACTCTGATCCAAGTATACATTCTCTACCGGAGGGTATAACCGCGGTCACTGTTTGGTGTCACATGTAGAGAGTGGTTTCTCGAATTAAGCTCTCTTTTTTTCTCTCTCAATGACTTGCGTTAATGGTTACGTCAAGTTTGAGGCAGGGTTGTTCAATGGGTTTTGTTGCTGTTGAGGCAATGAAGGACGTTCAGGGGGACTGGGAACCGGAGCCGGGTGCACGATGAAAGTAGGAACCTCGTCCCCCGGCATTAACACTGAAAATCCACTGGTGTATACTGTTATCTGCAGAAATCAAAAAGTAGAGAACCTTTAGATGAACTTTCTTACCTAAATGAGGGCAGTAGTAGTTGCAGAAACAGCCATTAAGGTCACCAAATAAGGCCCTACCTAGTGAACAGTTCCTAGACAAGCTTTCTTTATTAAAGAAGCATGGACCTTACTAGTACTACCTTACAATCACAAACCGATCAACAGCCCACCTAGCTGACGTTATATGAACCTAATGTAGCCTCAGCAAGAAAAACGAACAAGAGGGAAGAGCTCGAACCACTAATCGATTTGTATCAGACAGCATCAAACACAAGATTATAAGAATGTAAACGAGAGCAATCAACTAAGCAACAAGGAAAGTAAAGCTGACCTTTACGGCTCATGTTCATTGGTAGTTTATAACATGCTGCAAAACTTTTGCTTAATCTATTATTCTTAACTTAGCAGAGAGGGTCGTGCATTATGTTATTCCACAGTATAGCACAGGATGCATTTCCGGAATTGTCATTAAGCCGGATAAATAGCTCATGTCAACAAGAATGAATCTTGTTTGTTGATATATCAGTGGTATCCTAAAAGATTTGACTGTGAATGCATCTAAGTATCAAATTCCAACCCTCAACTAAACAATCCTGCTGTCCCCCAAAAGGTGCTACGCAGAACACTATCTCCAATATCATGTCTCAAAGATGCCAGGGTGTGAACATCGTGAGTAGTGTGAAATGATTTGACCTATCCCCAAGCAGACTCGTCGACCATACCAAACAATTTAGAAGGTTTTGAACTTGAATCTAAAGTTTAAACAATTAATGAGCAATGCATGATCTATCTTAAGCACCAGAAGCCACCGAAAAACATCAAGTGGACTGAGGATTTGTTGCATAATGCAGGACCACTCATAGGATACCGTTGATTAACTCAAACTGTGATAGTTCCATCTAAACTGCTTTAACATCCTCCATAATGAAAGTGCATGAGCATCACACGTAAATCTTTATTCACAGGTCAAGTATAAAAATGCAGACCAACATGTGGAGCTCGATGCCCCTTAAACAATGTCTAGAGTTCGACGGAACTCAATTCGGTATATAGTATGGGCCAATTAGGCTACTAGACACCAAGGGTTGAAAAACTGACTAAGGCTTGTCCTCCAAGGCCTAAAATTTTGTTCCCAATTCAGGGCTTGGCAAAGGTAAAATGGGCGACCAACATGTAAACTGGTGGGTCTAAACATAAATAACTATATATAGTTGTTATATTCTTCTAGGGGCCAACCCTTAAACTTCAGGGGACCCTTATAGATGGGGCCATTGCCTGAATATCATAAATGCAACAACAAACAATTGACTGTTCCAAAAACTGATATTTGACTAAAAGATACAATCTTGGCAATTACATGAATGGAAGAACATTTAAGCAACTGAGATACTTTATGCAATGAGGGAAAGCTTTAACATTGAGCTTAGGAAAAGCTTGCAGGAAGAGGGGGAAAATGTCCAAGGGCATCTAGTTTTCTTAAAGAAAAGAAAGTTATAATATACTTGAGAAAGCAAACAAATTTTAAGGCCAAAAGGAAGGATCTTCATTGCTATTCAAAATGTATGATGCAGAGAGAAGCTTCATTTCAAGTCAGATATATATCATGCTAAACATTCAATTTGAAACAAAAAGTAAAAGGATTTTGAACAAAATTGAAGAAAACCCATAAGAGGAAACAAAAATGGTAACTCACTTTTGGTGATGGGTGGCTGAGCTTGCCATTAAAACCGAGTTGAGATTCAAGGTCACCATGGTTGGGGGATGAAGAAGAGTTGGGTCTAAGAAAGCGTTCGAAGATGGCCATTACTAAGAACATGGAGATGAGAATGGCGGTAGCAACAAAGCCAAAAGACACGGCATTGACATAGCTGTCGAAATGTTTCCAATGGTCTTCCTCTCTTTGTACATTCAACGGAGCACCGACCGGTGGCCAACTAAAGAAGTAGCTTTCTTGTTTTGCCATTTCACAGCAAGCTGAAAAAGGAAACAGTTTTAGCTCTTTAGTCTTTACTCAAAATCTCATCACTTAGCTAACCCAGTGGTTGAGGGTTTCTTTTACACCATTATCAAAGCTTCTCGGAGTACTTAAAATGATAAGTTTGTGGAACTTTGCGAAAGAGCAAAAGATGGAGCATGCGGCCCATGTGGCCTGGTGGTATCTTTTACATGGAGGCTGACCTGGGAACTCAAGAGTAAAAGAGAGAACTTTGATTAATATTAACAGTTATGTTGTTTTCTTAAAAAAAAATGTAATATAAGGTTTTATTAGATTAAAGTTTAGGTTTGAGTAAGAGTTTTAATTTCAATCTAACTAAATTTAAAAATATTTTGAGTTTATTTTTTTAAAATAATAGAAAAGGGAAAACCTTATCTAACCACTAGAGAGTTTAATAAATGTGAGACTAAAAATGATGGCGTTATTAAATTAAAAACCTCCGTTAATTAATTATTTTGAACAATTATCACCTTAGCATATTTGTTAGAAAAATAACCTCTAAAGTACACATGTAGGATTAACTCGTGTTCTACCCAGCGCGTGATCATACTTTGCATTTCACAGGATGCGAGTTACAATGAACTTTTCAGATTTTCTAATTTAATATGATTATTTAGTGTCTCGCGTTTCCCATAACACGAGCTCCCCAAGATATTGAAAATTATCGTTCAAAGAAGTTTCGAGATTTAAAATTTGAAAAGACTCCCGGTACCTCGCGTTTCATAGAACACGAGGTACCATTTACCTTGCTTCGGGGCAGTGCGAGGACCATTATAAATAAGGTCATTCCCCACCTGAATTCCTCACAGCTTCATTAAAAAAATATCTCTCTTACATATTCTCCCTCTTATATTATTATTGTGGGACTACTGAGGGTTGATATTCCGTGTGTATGCACCTATTAGCGGGATAATCCGACGGTAAATTTTATTTATTAATTTACTTTAAAAAAATTAATTTTTTTGAATAATTTTTTTATTTCTTTAATAATTTTATTCAATTTATTTATTTATTTCAAATATTTATTCATTTATTTATTTAGTTATTTCAAATTTGTTTGTTTGTTTGTTTCAAAATTATTTTTTTATTTGAAGTGATATGAACGTTCGTTGAAGTGTTCTGTCAACTTTTTCCCGGCTCTTGATGACGTTATTATTCCATTCTTGAATGAAGTCGGTTTTGGTTACGTTGTCACTGTAACTGATGGTACAAAGTTGCACCTTCCATTGATAAACGTGTTGCTTGAACGGTGGAGACCGGAGACACACATGTTTCATTTTCCTTGTGGGGTGGTGACTATTACCCTTGAAGATGTCACATACCATCTTGGGCTGCCTGTTGATGGAAACTATTATCGATATGGCTCATGGAGACTAGCTAAACTTGTGTGAGGAGATGCTCAGACTTACTCTGACAAATGACGATTTGGATGGAGAGAAGATCTACATTACATTTTTGGATGATAATTTTACGCAGCCCACACTGATGTTGTTGCAGAAACTAAACATGTAATTTTTTAAATTTATGTTTATTTAAGATAATTTATTTATTTATAATATTTAAATTTTAGTTTAGTTTATGTTATTGTAATTTTTTTATGATAAATTTTTAATACATTCACACCATTTTTATTTTACAGCTATATGCTCGTGCTCATATTGTAAAAGTTATTAGGGGATCTTGATGTTTGATAAATCCCGAAACAAAGTGCATATGATGTGGTTGCATCATCTACGATATTTGTGATCTGTTAAAAATAAGAGTTGAGGATCAATAGTGTTAGCCTTTTTGTTATGGGAGATATGTAAAGTTGTTCCTCTGAACAAACAAGCAATTGGTAGTTGTTTGATGTTGTTACAATCGTGGATTTAGTTTCGAATGTCGTTTTTAATGTTGATTCCTACACAACAAACCTTACTACAATTTTCATACTCCATAGGTAATTACAAATAACCTAAGTTTATATATTTATTTCTACATGTTTTTTTTAGTTTTACAAATAATTATATTTTATTATATGAATGATAGGTGGACTGGCGCACTTAGTCACTCCCACCTACCACAAAGTCTACGTGATTTTAGATTATCGATCGATGAGATGACAGGCGAGGTAGTTCATGTGTACGTCGTATAAGGACGGTGTTATTACAGTATGTAGTTCATACATGTCAGTGATCCAATTGATAGTCTATGAGATCGTCGAGTGGCATCTTGCTGATCGTGTGTTGCAGCAATTTTGTCTTGTCCAAACGATTTCACCACCACCAAGAACCTTAGACAATGCCTTACATCGTCTAACTCGACAGGGGAATACAGATGTTAATTGGGAGGTGTATCATGTGGATTAGGTGATGCAGTGGATGTCAAGGTTCATTACGCAGCCCGTTTCTGAACCCATCTTGGCATACGGTGTTTTATATGATTATATGTCGTGGTATGAGAAAAATGGGGTACCGCATATTCTGACCGGGGAGGAGCGGGCGTGAAAATTTATAGGCCTCCCCAAAACCATCCGCCCATATAACGTCCCCCGAAGCAACGTGGTGTAAGTCGGGGTAGACGAAAACACGCTCAACCCTTATCATCGGGAACGACACATGCACCTATAGAGCATCAAACATCGCTGACGACACCTATATTTACCCACTTGTCTCAGTCGATATTTCAACATATGGCGACTCGTCATCATTTCAATATATGACGCCACTGATGAAAAGTTTTTTTCGCCAACACTTTTCGTTCATATCCGGTGGTCATTGTCTATTCTCATTGCCCTCTTGTACCAGCTGAACCATATTATCCACCACCTTCATGTGCATCTGTTCAACCATTGGCAACATACTTCAGATTCGACAGTGTTGAGCAGACGCCGCCGCAGAGCATGTTCTACACCAGTCTTGATCTTAGTGGTATTTGTGGTACTAGCCATGTAGATGAGGGTGATGATGGTGGTGGTGATGATAGTGGTGGTGGTGATTAGAGTGATAATGATTCCCCCGAAAATATATTGATTTGTAGAAAACCTTGTCGAACTTGTCGTTCACCGCAATACGGTACGGGTGAACATAGACATCATTAGTTGTTTAAATCTGTAATTTTTTTAATAATTCGAACTGTATTTTCTTTCTTGTTTTAATTAATCAAACTTTGTTTTCTTTTTTAGTTTAAAAAATAGTATTCGAATATAATGTTCTAGTTTTTTTAATTGTTCCGTTTGATGCATAAACAACTTGGGAATCATCATACTCACACAAAATTTATTTTAATACAAATTTAAAAACATAATAAAAAACTACACAAGTTGTTTAAAGCTCTCTCTCCCAACATTCACGGGCAATACGTGGTAGAACTAGCTCTTCGTCCTCATAGTCTTGTAATAACCGAGTCACTCCTTCATTGCTTGTTGAATATGGTTATTCTTCAAACGTTATAGTCAACTCGATGTTCCTACCACCAACACGTGTGTAGCCTTAAACATCTTTCGAATGTTGCTTGTATTCGATAAGGTCAACATGTAATGTGCTTTAGTACTAGTATTTCCCACGAGAACTGTAGCTTGCAACGAAGACATATGTCTAGAATTTTTATGATTCTTTGAGATCATATCGTATAAATCATCTTTCTTAATCTTGGCATTGAATAAAGTGTAAAAATAAGTTTCGAAATGAAACACATTTGCAGAAAATCTCGTCATTAATATTTGTTTTACGAAGGTGTTTCATCCAAAATAGACACTGATCTTATTTTTATAGACATATTTTCTCGCTCCTTTTAAACCGAGACTTACCATGTCAAATCAAATGTTGTTTCCATGTCTGCCACGTCAGGAATCCCAAAGGAACTCGCTTTCTACAAAGTGCAAGTTTCCTGACACGTCAGGAATCTCTGTAAAACTCGCATTTTGCATAGCGCGAGGTTGTTGAAATAAATTTCCCCTCATTTTGTTGATATTGTAAATTGTAACACGGTCTATACTTATAAGAGGTTTTTCTTCTTGTGGCACAATTTGGTACAAAATTTATGTCAATATTGGTGCTATAAGTTACGCCACTCGAAAAGAATGCCTTTTATAAATATATGACATTCTCGACAAAATGCTTATATTTATAAAGTCGATTAAACATGAGTTTTCTCGCTCGAGACACTGATTTGACAAATGGCACACCGATACTCGTCTTATCGCTCGAGAAACTAATCATTTCTAAGAAGACATTCTCTTTAAGTGGCTCCATCGACTTATCGCTCGTGACATGGATTTGGCATGGTGAGCATGGCTTTCAAATTCTATATTTATCCTCGATCCAGTCTCCATCAAGCCCACGATGTTTATCAGAAGGTATCATCTTCCGGTGGCATCCTCTACTTAAGGCATCAAACCCACATATGGCACATCTCCACTCATTCCCTCAAACTTATCCTGTTTTTTCATTGTACTACTTTTGTTTCGAATATTTTTTATCACAATTATCACACCGCTTAAAATGTCTCATATGTGCCATTATTAGCCATGTCTATCGAGCCATTTTTGTTGGTTCTGTATGCACAAAACCAAACATTAGATCCATTTTTAACGTGATTTTGTATCTTCTTATTCTTTCACAAAAAAGCTTTGGTACCATTTTCAACTCGATGCTTAACTCGTCTACAATATATCGTATGTCCTTATATTAGCCTCAATTAAAATATAAATTCCAATACTACGCAGTGAATCTTATAAATTACAAAGATTTTGAGATTAAATACTCGAACATGCCTATAAGCACTTGTGGTTTGTTGGAAAAACAACATGTCTCGCTTCTTGGAAGATGCGAGGTACATTGAATACTTTTCGCGATAAATTTCTTGGGACATTTCAATATCTTGTGAACCTCGCGTTCTTAGAAATGCGATGTATTAAATAACCATATTAAATTGGGTAATCTGAAAAATGCATGGTACATCACGTCCTGTGAAATACGAGACATGTT